GGGTCCTTGGAATACGTATTTCCATGGAACTGATAGATTGGTAATTGCAGTCTCAGAAAAAAAAATATGTAATACACACGTACCCACACTAAGCATAAACAAGTGTAAGAGCGCTGAGACCATACGGGCACCCCTACTTCCCATCAGCCCACATCCCCAGAGGCCACAGGCCAGAAAGAAGGTCTCATGAGCCTTCACAGCCCCATTGGCTTTGGCTGCCAGCAGACACTTCCCCCTGAGTCTTTGACCTATAAGACTCCAGCCTTAGCTATTCTGCAGATGGAATTTGTCCCAAACCTTGTCTCTTTCTCATTTTTCACTGCCTAATGGAATCTCCATCTGGACCTTCCAGCAGTTCTTGTCTGGCCAAACCCACTGAGCTACAAAGGACAGAACCCAAGGCCAGAGGGCCAGAAGGCCTGGGTTCTGCCACCAGCAACTGGGTGACCCTGGGTGGGTTTCTTTAGGCCTTGCCATCCTCATGTGTAAAAACAGAACGGGCCTGCAAGAAGCTACCCAAGGCTTGCTCCTGATTCCAAAAGGAATCAACACCCCCTCATTTCCCTTCCCCCTTCCAAGAGGTTTCTCCATGCCCTCATGCTGCTAACAATTGCTTCATTCTTCTCCCAGCAAACCAGCACAAAATGTCAGTGTCCAATTTGACTCTTCTCTCTCCCTCACGTCCGTCAGTCACCAAATCCTGCAGGATTTCTTGGCAAGCTCATTCACCTCCCTTTCCTCCGTCCATCCCTACGGCCATTGCCTTGATTTAGGTCCTAATCTATCTCAATGGGTTAGTCCAACAGCACATTCTCATAAGAAGTTCCTCCCTGTCCCTCCAACCAGCCCTTCTCAGTCTTGAATCCTCCTGAAAGCACAGCTTTCACCGTGTCTCTTCTAGACTCCAGGACCTTCAAAGGCATCTGAATTACACATACATTCTTTAACTTCAACTTTCAAGACCTTCCAGGAACTCTCCCCAGCCAGAGGCTCGAGTCTCACTCCTCCCAGGATCCCCCTCCCCACTCCACCCTATGAGTCTAGCCACCTGTGGACCACCCATCAGGCTTGTCCTAGTCTTTCAGGTTCTGCTCTTGTTCCTTTCCTCATCTCCTCCCACCCCTCCAACTCCCTCCGTCCCACCCCACCCCTGCCACATAAAACCACCCGCCCCTTTTCGCCTTTTACTGAGGCCGACACTGCAAAACCAGCTAGCTCAAGGCCATGTCTGCCACAGACTCTTCCTGGACATCTGTTAAGTATAGGGCTGAACATAGGGCTGATGCCGCCCCAGGGCAGCTCAGAGTTTGAAGGGGGTGTGGCCAGAGACATGCAAATAAAGCCTCTAAGTACCATAGCAGAGATGGATATTGGATGCTAGACAATTTAGAGAAGAGGAAAAATGACTTGGGGGTGAGGGGAGGAGAGGTGTTTCAAGATTCTGATCTGCATCCTGAAGGATTAATAAGAATTCATTCATCTTGCGGAGCAGACACAAAAGGGCTTCCCAGGAAGAGGAAATAGTGTATGCAAAGGCAGAGATGCACAAAGGATAGAAACTGCTAAGCTACTCCATTTGGGGAACAGTGGAGATGCAGCTGGTGAGCCAAATTATTGCCAGCCTCTGTGGAGCCTTGAATGCCAAACAAGGATACCATACATTATCCCTTCAGAGAGGCAAAGCCTATTCCATCTTGTCTACACCTTCCATCCACAGATGTATTACAGAAGCCAAGATTACAATTCAGCATGGAACTCAGTGATTAAAAGCATCTTGCACAGTGAACACTCAGTTCTCAGTGTGCCTAAATGTGTACGTGACAGAGAGAGGAAATGAAAGTAAGAATTATCAAGGAGCACCAAATAGAAATCATACATTTCCCAAGAGAAAGCTCAGAGTTAGCAGCTCCCTGGAACTCACAAAGCCTTGAGGAATCTGGGTCTAAAAGTAAACAGACTGCTAGAAGACAGCATCTCCTAGAAGGTTGTTTACTGAGGGTGGGAGAGATAAGAATGTGAAGATGCCAAGACCTGGCTTTCAGAGTCTATAAGCCTACCTTCCTGAGACCAGCTGTAGATTCTGCAAAAACTGAGACACACAGGTGTCATCAAGTGTTGAAATCAAAGAATGATGCCAGGAAACATAAAGTGTAACTGCTCTGAGGAAGGAGGAAGCAGGAAAGATAGGGACTCAGGAGAACACAAAGCTGCCAAGAGTTTCAGCCTAGTTGTGCCCACACCAAGCGGTGACGGTGTCATTTTTTTTTTCCCTCGAGTGTCACCTCTTGAATAAAGGTGTGCAGTCTGGGAACTTCATAAATGTTTAAATGCCTGAACAGCGGTATTCTTATTAGCTCTTCGTTCTCATATTTTACAAAAGGAGATCCACCAGAGGATTTTAAGCAGGAAAGGGTCACGAACAGATCTATATATCAGGAAGAAAACTTCTTGGATGGCCGACTAAAAAACAACTTCCAAATATTACCGCAAATGTGACAGTCTCAAGGGCATGACGTTCCTTGTCCAAAGCTCAATTCTTTCAGGATCGTTTCTTCCTCCTCACTTTTCAGCCTGGCACCCCAGTCCATGGATTCTCTCTAGTCTCATCCACCTGTCCCACTCTCTAGGGTCCAATACCCGCCCTCACTTCTATCTTAATTGATCGTGCAGGTCCTAATGAGCCTCTACACCCCCAGTGTCTTTTCCAGCTGGTCACTGCTTCCCGTAGCCCGGCCAGAGTCCACCCCACCAGTTCCCACCTGATTTTCATCAGAACCCAGGGGAAATTGGTTAAAAACATGCTAGACTTACTTAATTGGAGTAGTTTAAAAGCTCCCCAGGCGATTCTGAGGCACAGACAGATTTGCAAACTACTTTTCTTAATCCTCAAAGGGACTGTACCACTGAGTACTTGTAAGAAATGCAGAAGGTCAGGTCCCACACTTGACCTGGGAATCAGAATCTGCATTTGAACAAGATGCCCCAGGTGATTCTTAAGTTTGTTAAAGGTTGAGAAGCACCGCTCTACACTGTTGCCAGACCACTCATTCTACAAATATTTACTGAATTTTCTCCATCGGGCTAGGGGTTGAGAGGTTGGGAGGGTCAAGGGCCAAGGTTCCTGACTATAAATTCACAGAACCATCAATCAATCTTCTGCTTAAAAACCATTACTGGTTCCCATGCTTTCAAAGTCCAGACTTCTCCCACCTGGCCTTCTTGGCCCGCTGGAGCCAGGTTTCTTCCTTCTCACCAGCTTTACTGTCTACCACTCGCCACAGGAGCCAAGCTGGGCCACTTGCCACTTCTCGCAGCTACCCAGTGCTTGCCTGCCTACAACGCTCTCATAGCCCAGGTCACGCTCTGCCCACCTCTGCCTGGAGAAACCCAGGAGAAGTCCTTTGAGGTCCATCACACACCCATCCGCTTCTTGAAGTTAACTCAGATTTTCCCTGCTCAGATGAAAGACAAATTCCCACAACTCTTTGCTCTTACCTCCTTTATAGCATTTATCTCAATCCACTTAGTCTTATTAAAGTCAGTGCACCTGCTGTAGCTACCCCAGTAGAGACCATATTTGTCGCTGCAATAGCAGTAAGCTAATAACTGGCACACCATCAAATCTCAAAGTAATAATAACAATAATGTATTAAATAAAATTGTGGATGGGGGAGGGTATAGCTCAGTGGTAGTGTGTGCTTAGCATGCTTGAGGTCCTGAGTTCAATTGCCTGTACCTCCATTTAAAAAAAAATGATAAAATAAATAAATAAACCTAATTAGCTCCCTCCAGAAAAGCAAACAAAACAACAACCAAATGCAATCAGTAAAATCCCTTAAAAAAAGATGTTTAAAAAAAATTATGGATGAAGGTACTAAGTGAAAAGTTTACCAAACTCCCCCATCTACCACTTCAAAGTCACTTAAATATTAATTTAAGTAGATTACATAAAATGGGCTGCCTCTCAAGCCCCAAAGAGAAATAATCTCTAAATCAAATCATATTTTGTGTTTTTCATATAGTACAAATAATAGACTGAATGTGCTGAAGATGAATTTTATGTACAGCCAACTACCTTTCTGTAGTTGGGCATTTAACTTAACAGAATGCAACAAAAAATTTGGGAATACTTTAGATAATTAAGGAACTGGGAGAGGGAGGAGAGAGATGAAAAAGACAGGAAGTAAACCAAAACTTGGAAAAAGAGACTGAGCTATACCAAATATCCAGCTGCTCTAAAAGTAGAAATATAATACTCTGGATTTGTGTTTTAAGAGGATTAAATGCTGGCTAGAATGCCTGTTTTGATCTTAAAGTTTGGAAGTTCTGGTCTTTAAACATATCTTATTTGCATCTGAAAAGCAACTGCAGGTCTGGAGTAGGGGGTGTCAGGAGGGAGAGGGGCCCACGTTCAAATAGGACTATCCCCACCTTGCAGTCTACTGGGACGCAGTGACTTGAGATTTGGAAAGGCATGTTGCACTTCTGCAATTACGGTATTGAGCTGGTCTCAGCCAAGGCGTTGCAGCTGGACACACGCTCTACCGAACACCGATTTGCTTGGGCAAATCGACCGTAAGCTTCCCTACCACCTTGGGCTCTCTCTCTCTTTAGACTACGCCGCTGCTCAAGCTGACTGAGCAGAGTTCTGACATACCACACATAACTGAGGTGAACGGCCACCCTGCGCATCTCCAGAGCCATCCTGACACCTGTAGGAGCGCGGACTGTCCGTAGACCCCGGGCGGAACTGGGTGGAGACTTGGAGCAAATTTACAAGAGTTATACCCTCCTCCCAGTTTTCTGGCCAGAGAAGGGGAGGAGGTTTCCCGTCCCCGCGCCTGCGACACGCTCTGGGGCTGATATAGGAACTGTGCCCCTCCCCACGCCCCAAGCGGTTCTTGGAGCTGGGGGCTCTCGGTTCCCCAGGCAATGCCCCTGCGGGAGCTCCCAGTCCCGACCGCGCCGCGGATCTGGGGGCGTGGGGACCGCCCACTGACCTGGGTGCGGGGCTCCTCTCCGGGCAGCTCAGGTGTGCGGGCCTTTCCCGTGTCGCTCCCACCTCAGAACATGAGAGCCAAGAACCAAGCTGCAGGCCACTGACCCACCGACCAACTGACCGACCAACCAGCGAACCGACCGGCAGCGGCCGGGCCTGGAGCCCACGTGACGGGGGCGGGGACCCGCGGGAGACTCGTCCCGGAGCGCCGGTTCCCTCACCGCCCCACCTTCTTCCTGGGCCCGCCCCTCTGCCACGCCCCCTCCTCAGGTTCAGTTGCGGCCCTCAGGGACCAGGCCGCGCAGGGTTCCAGTTCCCCAGGGACCCGCCTCGTCAACCCCGCCCCTTCGAACCTGCCAATCCCCGTCCCGTCCAGCCCCAGTCCCGGGCCCACCCCGTAGGCCGAGCTCAGCGTCCCCAAGCCCCGCCTATCTCGGGAAGCCCCGCCCTCCCCTGTCACCGTCTACTCCAGCACCCTTCCCGCCCCGGGGGAGACGCCGAGGGCTGTTCCCAGCTTCTCAGCCCCTAGGCTTCTCGGCCCTTCAGCACCGCTCCCTGGCCGTAGGGAATGAGAGCAAGCAGACCGGGAACTTTGTAGAATTGCAGAGAGAAGCTGTAGGAAAAACGTTTTAGAGCCCCCCAACACACAGACACACAGGCACACAGACACACACACATACACACACACACACACACACACACGCAGAGAGCAGCAACTGTTTGGATGTGCGGACTTCCCGGGCCCCTGCGATCCTGTCCAAACGAGGTTGGCCTGAGCGCCCCCAGTTTGGGAAAGAGTCACCCTACGGTCTGGGGGCACCTGAACCCGGCGACATGGGGTGGAGGGCCCTCTAGTGGTCGGCTCCAATTAGAGGCAAGTGGAGTCCGTTCTTGTGAACAGCTGAGGACAAGCAGCACTACCCTGTGCCCAGCACTGAGGCGGAGTTCAACAGGCCCAAGAAAAGCTTTGGCGAAGTCTGACCACATGGATTCTAGAATAATCGCGGGACTGGGCCCGGGGACCTAGTCCAATGCCTTCCCCCAGCAAACGGCCTGAATCCCCTTTGGTTGTACTGCTAGGTTGTTACCCTGCCTAGGCCTCCAATAACTGGTTGCTCAGTTCAGCTGATTAAAATCCCTGTGGGCCTCAGATGGCATCAGCACCATGGACTCTGACATAGTCCCCAGCTCTAGCAGGAGCTGCTACCACCCTAGCCTCAGTTTTTTCCTATGTTTCTTCTAGGCTGGACCCTTGACAAACTCCACAAGATACATCTTTTTTCATATTACCCTGGTGGCCCGAAATTACCAGTGTGCCCAGAAGACTTGTACATGAGAACAAAACTTAAGCCACTTTGGCAAATATGAGACTGGTCACTGCAGAAACCCGGCCAGAGGCAAACCAAGGGCAAAGCCAGCAGAGGAAGGCTGGGGCCCACAAGAGTTGTATTACAACAGGACACTCTTTAGTCCTCTTTCACTTCCTTAAAATAGCAGCACAGAGGCTTTTGAAGAGGAGGCTGCCACAGTTCACACGAGTTCATGGGTGTTTCCAAATCCCACGTTAACACCCTAGTGGACCCACAGCCACCCCCCTATGCTAGTCTGTTCTTTAGAACTATACAATTACTTTTTTAAAAATCACTTTAACAGAAACGATATAAATGACACCTACTGAAAACAAATTTATGGTTACCAAAGGGAAAGGAGGGGAGGGGTAAATTAGGAGTTTGGGATTAGCAGATACAAACTACTATATATAAAATAGATAAACAACAAGGTTCTACTGTATAGCACAGGGGACTAGATTCTATAACTTGTAATAACCTATAATGGAAAAGAATCTGAAAAAGTATATATGTATAACTGAATCATTTTACTATACACCTGAAACTAACACAATACTGTAAATCAGCTATACTTCACTTTTTTTTTAAATGGTGTATGTAAGTCACTGACTTTCCGGCTTACTCACACATTGGAACCACTTTGGGAGAGGGGGCTTAAGGAATACAGTACTGTCTGGGCCCACCTCCAGAGGCTCTAATGTCATAGTCTGGGAGTATGACCTGGCATTAGGATTTTTAAAAGCTCCTCAGGTGGTTCTTAGGTGCAGTCAAGTTTAAAAACCACTGCCCTAGGTCTTAGGAACTTCATTCCTCACTAAAATCCAACAAGAGACCCACCATTGAAAAATTTATCTAACAGAAACTCAAGAAGTATTCATGGGCCTGCATGTCCAGCCCTGGCTCCCAGGAAACAAAATGGTCCATCAACAGAGGCTTCCTGGAGAAAATGTCTCAACTTAAAAAAGTGATTCTAGCTGCAGGAATTTAAGACACTAGAGTGGGTTGTTGGTGGTAGTGGCAAGTGTGCCCTGTAGAACTCTCAAATCAAAGCCATCACAGATGAAAGGCAGACAGCACGTTACCAGCTAGCTCTCTGTACCTCTAAAGGAACTGTGTGCAGGACTTTCGCATAGTTCCACTCACTGAGAATTCCCCCACTACTTTCCTCTGTGAGGCAGCCCGGTCCTTTTCTCTGTGAAATAGATAATGTTATGTTACCCATGCGGCAGCTGATGTCCCCAAACCCATGGAGTCCCCATGTTTATTTATTCATACCTGCCTCATTCCTGAATGGATTGGGACTCTCAGTGAGAATGTTACTGCTGGTTTTTTTCTCTAAAGCATAAAATATTCTTTGATTTAAAGAGTGCATTTCTGACCCAGATGATGGTTCTTTTACAGACCAATAAAATGCTTGAACATTTTTACAACTAAAGTGTAACTGAATCTGGATTTCTGATATCTTGTCATTTGGGGGATTTTATTTGCCTCTGTTGCTTTAAAATTCAAGGCAGAGAAGTTGTTGACTGTAGGAGAAATAAAGCGAATTCAAATTTTGTGTTAAAAAAAAATCACTTTGGTAGAACGGTGGGTAACTGCACTTTCTCCATGGGGGTGAGTAATTCCATTCTGCCAAGGACCTCCTCAAATGCTATGGGGAAAAAAAAAAAAAGAACAAAAATCCTCTCTTCCTGCCTATGGTCCCAGCCGGGGCTTGACAGAATCAAGAAAGCAGCTGCAAACACACAGAGCAAATCCTCTCATGTGACCAACCTGGAAAGAAAGAGGCCTCCGCACACGACACAGACTGGCACCCCCAGGCTGCAGTAGATGAACGCATGGGAAAGAGTTTGAAGAAGTCCCTCTGGATGGGCACAGCTGCCCTCTGTCCCCTGGCCACGTGGCATGCCTGCTGCGGTGGGGTGTCCTGTGCCTGCTATCCACTGGCTTTCATCCAGATTCCAGAATATTTAACGAGGGCCTCAGGGTGTTGGGGCTTGTTCACGTTAAACCCAAGCACAGGCAGCGCTTCCTGAAACGTCTATGCTGCGGGTATGTAGGCAAATATAATATGAGGAGGTTTATTTGCTTAGTGTCAGTTTTATTGTATTTCAAGCAAGAAGGAAGAAGCAGGGGATGGTAAGGCAAGGTGAGGCTAGAAGTGGGGACCTCACTCTTCAGCTGGTTTTCTGGAGGAAGTAGCTGTTGAAAGGTCTATAGGAAGGTCTTGTGCAGACATGAAACTTGCTAAAGGGATAGACCATTGTTTTTAGGCTGAAATGATGAATGTATTGCTTATAAAGGGTTGGGTAAACAAACATATACATCTGCTGCTTCCTTGGACAATGGAAAAGCTATGGGATTTGCAGTACTTTCTAGCTCTAGCTCTGTCTTTCATTTTTTGTAGTTTTTTTACTTTGAATGGCTCACCTGAACCCTCCTCATCTGTAAAGACTTGTCCTGCATCTCATAAGGGTGCAAGGAGATGTAACGTACGGGCGGACACTTTGTAACTGGAAAGTTGTCTTTAAAGGTACTGTTTTCACTTTATTATTACACCCACCTAGCCTGTTGGAGGGGCAGAACCAGGGGAAATGGAGATTAGACATCAATAAGAAATAGTATTTTAGTTGGGCAGTGAAGAACGAAAAGACTATCAACAAGTATTTGTGAAAGAGGAAAAAGCTTGAACAAAGGCCAGACGAGAGAAAAGCCAGGAGTATTAGGAGGTGCTCTACCTTTCTAGTGGGAGGGTGGGGATGGTGAGGGTTAGAGAAAATGTTAGTCAAGAAAAGGCTGGAAGTTAGCTGGATCAGAGCATGGAAGGCTTTGAGCGCCAGGAGGTTTGGATGGGTAATGGCAGTTGTTGAAAATTCCTGAGTGACAGACTGTTATCTAAGCTCTTGGAAGACACTCATGGCAGTACCATCTGGGAAAGGATGTATCTGTATTCCCACTTCCAGACCGCACCCCTGGATGTGATTAGAGGGATATATTTTGCAAAGGGGCTGTGGTCTCAGTGTCCTGGAGGGCAGCAGGCACGGCACCCTCCCTCCCGGCCATAGTGCATCACTCCAGAGGCTCCTTTCTCTTGGTCTGGAGTTTGTAAATGATCTGGTTTCCATCATTCCAGGCGTAGAGCTGCTTATCTCTGGGGTTGTAATGGATCATGGAGTGGCTTCTCAGCCGCCGGGGGAAGAACAAGTTGGGCAGATTCTCCTCACTGACCGTGCCCAGTGTATCATAAACACAGGCGATGCGATGCGGGCCGTGGCCACCCGAACTGTAGACCACATAGAGGACCCCACACAAGAGGAATGCGGCTTCGGCATCCTGGCTTCTGCACGGAGTGTCCCATGAGTGCTCCATTCCCAGCGTGTCAGGCTCAATTTTTGTGAGAACCAAATGGCTCTGGATGCCTGGCCCTGAGTGGATGGCCCAGAGCCCGTGCTCGTCCACAGCCAGGTCGATGAAAGTCGAGGGGGAGTGCTGGTAGACCAGGGCTCTCCCTGCCCCTCCTGAAAGCAGCATTCGATCTTCCACGGTTCTCTTTTGCAGGTTATATTTGATGATCTCATTGCGAGTCCCTTGGCTGTGAAAAAATAGGAAACCTTTGTAGACCACTTGGCCTGTTCCCTGCCAGGAATGTGTTAGGAGCAACTTCCGGGGGCCTGGCTTGGTGCTGTCCTCCATGAATGCCCGTATGTTGGCAAATTCCCAAACAGTGTTGTTTCTGGATCCAATTAAGAAATAAACCTTTGAAGAGTCGCTGACAGCATCTTTCATCCAAGAGCCATCTATGTCCATCGTCTTTTTCACTATTTTCAGAGACTTTATGCCCATCAGCATGTTGTCACAGCCTGGCCAAACAGGAGAATAAGGGAAGGTGACTTTATAAACACATGAGATGTCTGCTTTTCACACAGATTGCTTCCCCCCCCCTTTCAGGGTCTAGAATAAAATTATTGCACAGAGATCAATCATAATCGATTGCAGGAATCAGTGAATCAAAGAATGTAATGAATAATTGGATCTCTGTCAAAGGAGTTGCTGTCCAGTCATAAGAGTCAGCCTTAATCAAGTCAGTCAAGTCAGAATATGAACAACTATTTGCTGTGTCAGAGGCCCTGCTCACTCTCTAGAGCACTTGAGGTTGACACAGTGAGAAGACTTAGGTGTGGAACCACCTAATTCAATTCCATTGGCCAAGATTTTATTGGATAATTCAATTCTGCCTGCCAAGATTTTCCTGGGTACCTGCTGTGGACTTAGCTTTCAGTACTCTCCCAGAACAGTGCTAAGTACTGAGGACAAAAATTATAATTTCAACCCTACACCTTGAGGAGATGACCTTCTAGAGAAGGATTCTGGTCCTTGACCCTACTAGAACATTATAAAAGTTCTACTCCTCCCTCTATTCATTTATTCATGAATGCATGCATGCATGTAGCCAGCCAACTTTGGATACCTACAAAGGTACCACTCCATGAACCCTCACCTTTTGCCTAGACCACTGCATAGTCGTCAGTTTGTCTCCCTGATTTTACTTTTGCTAATCTACAGTATGTTCTCCACAAAGCAGTAGGAGTGATCTGTTTAAAAATATGAATAATGTGACTGAACTGTTAAACCGTTTTCCCCACCAAACTTGGAATAAAATCCTAACCCCTTCCCTGGTCTAAAGCACCTACATGATTTGGCCTCTCCCTGTCTCTGGGCCTTGATTCTCCACTCTCCATCCCCTGGCACATAGCATGGTGATTACACTGGCTTTCCCTCTGTTCCAGCACATGAGATGGTTTCTGCCTTAAGGCTGTAGCGCCTACAATTCTTTCTGCCCGGAGTCTTCTTTTCCTTCATCTTCCCATGTCTGCTTCTATCCTTCACATCTCAGTTCCAGTCTCATCTCCTTAAGAGACTTCCCTGACCACTGTATCTAAATTTAAAATGATCTACAACAGCATCTCTCTTACTTCCTTGAGCTCCCTTATCGCATTCTATAATGATGTTATTTGTTTAAATTACTGGTGTGCTGTCCTCCCCACCAGACTCTAAGCTCCACAGAAGCAGGGCCTTTGCCCTCATGTTTTCTGTTATACTCTACTGCCTTCCTGAGAGCTTCTGGGGTTCAGCAACTGTCTATGGAATTAATGAGGAAGACAGGTTCATTCAAGCAGGTGTTTTTCTAGGGTTTAAACGGTGCTGCACATCCAGAGTTGACCTTAGGTCTGTCTGAAGTAATAATAATTTGTGTGTAGAATAGATAAACAAGATTGTACTGTATAGCACAGGGAAATATATACAGGATCTTGTGGTGGCTCACAGAGAAAAAGAATGTGACGATGAATGTATGTTCATGTATAACTGAAAAATCGTGCTCTACACTGGAATTTGACACAACATTGTAAAATGACTATAACTCAATTAAAAAAAAGTTTAAAAAAATAAAGTAAACGATTAACTTCAGGTATAAATAAATAAATAAATAAATAAATAAATAAATGTAAAATTAAATAATAATTTGTGAAGCACTTGAAAGCTTTTATGATATTTTCAAATGCATCATTTCATTTAAAAATATGACACAACATTGTCATCAAGGGAGCATACGGCAGGAATGGGGTTGGGGAGCAAGCTCAGCCTGGAAGAGCCGAGGCCCAGTAAGGTCATGCCCTTTCAGTGGTCAGGTCATCAGTGGCTGCTCCCAGAGGCCTTGCCAGGCCCAGACTTTGGGGCAAGCAGTGGAAGTCTCTCAGCCATAAGTTGCCACCATGTACCCTAATGACATGGATTGTGTCCCTGTGGCCTCTGGGTCAACTTTGTCCAGGTTGGCTTGGGTTATAGAAACTACCCTGGGGAAGGCAGAGAAGTCTGGGCCTGCTGGACCTTAGAATAAGTTTCAAATATCTCAGCATGTGCAACATGGATAGGCCTGGAGATCGTCATTCTAAGTGAGGTAAGCCAGAAAGAGAAAGAAAAATATCATGTGATATCACTCATATGTAGAATCTAAAAAAATATATCATATATCACTTATATGTAGACTCTTAAAAAAAGACAAATGAACTTATATACAAAATAGAAACAGACTCACAGACAGAAATCAAACTTACGGTTATCATGGGGGAAAGGAGGGGTGGAGAGATAAACTGGGGGTTTGAGATTTGCAGATACTAACTACTATATATAAAATAGATATACAACAAGTTTCTTCTGTATAGCACAGGGAACTATATTCAATATCTTATTGTAACCGACAATGGAAAAGAATATGAAAATGAATATACGTATGTATATGTGTGACTGAAACTCAGCTAAGGGTGCCCTGAGCGGAGTCTGAGCTGGAAGGCAGGACCTGCCAGGAGACCTCCAGCCAGCCCCAGGGACATGGCGAATGGTGTGTGTGAGGTGGGATGGGCACATCTCTGGATGTGCCAGGAGAGGGACAGAGGAGGGTAATGGACGCTCTGAGGCCTATTCGCAGGGTGATGGGATAATGTGCCTTGACTGGGAAGCCCCTAGCCTGCCCATCCCTCTGGGAGGAAAGCCAGTAGGCTTCCAGCCCAGCCACGAGGGACTACATCTAAGAATAAGGCACATTCAATGTCCCACTAGTGAGAAAATGTTCATTTAAAATACAGCAGAAAGTGGGGATGGGTATAGCTCAGTGGTGGAGCACATGCTTACCAAGCATGAGGTCCCATTAAAAATAAATAAATAAATAAGTAAATAAACCTAATTACCAACTCCCCAAAAAAGGCCTGGGGAAAAAAAACACAGCAGAAACTATAAACAGGCATTTGTCTTTCTCCTCCTACTCCTCCTTTCTAATGCAGAATCCTTGAAGAAATAGCAAACCAAAAGAGTGTTAAATGGTTTTGATCTGAGAAACAGTTCCCGTTGGGAGGTGCGTGGGACCACAGAATGTCCCCGTGTGCTCCCTTTGGCTTCTCCTATCCCTTTGTAGAACCTGGACTGGGAGTCAGAGACCTGAGTGTCTGAACTCCAGCTCTGGTTCTCCTTGTGTCTCCTTAAAAGTCCCTTGGTCTATCCAGCCTTAGCTTTCCCAGCTGTAAAACGAGGGGTTTAGCCTAGATGCTCCATAGTTTCTTCAGGTGGATATTCCATAATTCTTATAAATTCCTCTTCTCTTGGAATTTGGGGAGAATATGCTTTCAGTGTTTGAGTAAAAGAATAAGTTACAACTCTTGGCTGTGCTGCTCTTGAGAAGAGATAATTAGCAGGAGTAAAAGGTTGAGGAAGGATAGGAAATAAAAATGGAAAACCTTTGAGTCCAGCCAAGATGCAAATTATTTAAGTGAGACACTGACATTTTGCAAACCAGAGAAAGAAAATCTGCGGTTTACCCCTCAGGCAGTATTGCAGACAAGCAATTAGGATAGAATTTGGCCCAAGGCCTCAGAGTGACTTCATATATAAATATCACTTATTTGAATCTTTGATATTTTTCCCCTTATTTAACAGCAATACTCTCCAGACTTGATGAGACTTGTCCTTCCATTGGAGAATGACTCAATGGGAGTTATGTTTCAAAAACAGTGGTCTGTCACAGACACAGAAAACAAACTATGGTTACCAAAGGGGACAGGGTGGGGGAGGGATAAATTAGGAGTTTGGGATTAACAGACACCAGTAGTATACATAAAATTGATAAATAAGAAGGACCTACTGTATAGCACAGGGAACTATATTCAATTTCTTATAATAACATATAATGGAAAAGAATCTGAAAAAAAATGTATGTATAGGGATAACTGAATCGCTTTGAAACTTATCTGAAACTACCCTTCAATAAAAACAAAACAAAACAAAACATGGTCTGGATATTAGTAGAGAATGAACTGGTGGATAGAGGTGAGGGTGAGGGGATGCAGGGAGATAGGTGAGAATCTGTAAGTATACTCCAGACGAGAAACATCCAAATAGTGACGGGGGTGAAAAAAATGGGCACGGATTCAAGAACAGAAAAAGAGAGGTCAGGTCACTGATTAGGATGAGGATGCCAGGTGACAGACCAGACTTAAGGCTGCGGGGGATAGAAGGCATGAGACAGCAGCAGGGAAGAGCTGATATGCTCGGGGAGAAGAATGCTGAATTCACTAAAAAGAAGAGAATTCCTGTAAAACCATGAATATTTTGACTGCTTCTGGAAATTCTCTGTTGTTGAGCTTGACTTCTTCAGTCCCTGGAATTGTAGTCATGCTAATAAACATCTGTCAGTACTTATCAAGTGACAGGTATGACGTTCTAGACACAGGGATGACAAAAAGGACAGCTTTTAGACGAGTCATCAGTGATAAAGCTTCAAGCTCTCACAATAAAGTTGTCAATGTGGACTTCACTGTCCTAGAAATTAGGGCCAATTCATGCTTTTGGCCCACAGAATAAATTTCTGATGTCTTAGCATGGTACTCAAGGTCCTTCATCTGACCTCATCTTTGTCACTTCACTGGACTAGTCACCAGTCACTAAACTTGCCACTGAATGGGAAGGTTCACTCCACCTGGAGCCAAAAGCCATCTGCTTAAACAACTTTGGGACCTTCTGTTGGTATCTGTAGTGATGGTACTGGAGGCATCCTCATCGACCATGGGCTTTCCAGCTGGATACACAGAAGTGCTCTGTGCATAGATCTCTGTGAACCCAGCGCAGTGACCTATGGGACTGTCCAGGAGGCAGCATAGGATAAGCTGTACCCATAGCTTTGGCGACACTGGCTCCATCGATGCAGCAACTTCGTGTGTGTGTGTGTGTGTACACGTAGGTGTGCACACACACACACACAAGTACTTTTATACTCTCCTGCACTTACACCTGTGTGTAATAGATACATTACACA